ACTAACGAATACCAGGAATTTTAGATGTCCCTGGTGGAAAGGAAAATTTCAGTATTTTGAAGAAAGAGGGAGAGAGGAAGGCACACGATGTCTTATAAACAGACAAAGGAAGCTATGAACCCAGGTAGGCACTGGAAACTCAGAAAAGTCTTACAAAACAGAAACAGGGACCCTTGGAGGGAGCATCCCCTTAGCCCCTCCCCCCCCACACATGAGAGTCATTATCCTCCTGGTTAGCTTTCTTGCCAATCTAACACAGATTTCTCATACTTCCAGGCCTGGGCATTAGCTATAGTATGCAACTAATGTTGAGAGGAGAAACAAAATATAAAAATGAGATGCACACTGCAAAACTATGTGTGCATGAAGCAGGTAATAATGGCTCCCCACACACAAACTTAAGAAAGAAAGTACTCTGATGAAAGCGTTGTATGATTTTGATATATTATTAATGTCTTTCATGTTATATTGTCCTCTTTTATTTAAAAAAGAAATAGCCATCTGGTAACCTCGATGTCGTGAGAAGCCATTTTACTAGGCTTTTAGCATTACTCAGCACAATGCCAAAGCCTTTGGTCCTAGCATGCACGGCTCTCCCACTGCAGTTAACTAGACAAACGGCTCCCTTAAAATGAGGTTTATAGGCCCATTTAAAGGTAATAACCTGTTGCCTTCCTGGGTTGAGACTTTCATCCTGATGGAGACTATAGTACATCCTCAGAATAACTACTCAGGCTCTGCTCACCTCCCAAAGCTCCGGGCTTTTCATGCGAATGTAAGAAGGGCGGTGGGAGCCCCCACCACCCTGGGGGCTGCCCTGTGCTGGCACACACGCACGCAGAAGGCAGGATCGACACGTGGGACCTCCTGTGGAAGCAGAGGTGGTGGCGGAGTGGGGAAGAGGCGCCAGAAGCAAAAACACATAGGCCTGATTTTCCCTTTCCCCTCGTCTACTCCCGTTCTCCAGTTAAACAGGTAGTTTGTCTCTTTGTGAGTTACACACTGTTTTGTTATAACCCTATGTATAGTTCTGTTATTGACATATAGATATTTTGAGGTAAATAGGAAAACAAAAGCTGACATGCTATTATTAGTCTATGAAGCTCATGTTAAATATTAGGGTTGGGTGGGGTAGAATAGAGAGGGGATGCCCTGTGGATTCTAATGATTAGTGCCCTTCATATTTCTCCTAAGGGGTGGTTGCCCTTCGATGTCCTTCTTGCCTTCTGCAATAGGCAGATGTAGAGGGTCATCAGTGACATCCAGGCAACAAACAATCACACATCTAGGTTTCATGCTACAGACACATGCCATCCAATGCAGCAGCCTCAAGCCATGGGTAGCTATTGTATTTAAGTTAATTATAACTAAGAATTTGGCTCCTCAGTTTCATCAGCCACATTGCAAGTGCTCACATTACAGGTGGCTTGTGGCTACCATATTGGTCAGAGCAGATATAGATCGTTTTGTCATCACAGAAATTTCTGTTGAACACCATTATTATAAACCTTGTTAGCTCTAGAAGAAATCCTCCTGGCCTTCTCGTTGTCATCTTCAACATCCCCTCGTGAGATTTGCTGAGGGCAGGAATGGGGTTTTGTCACCTCTAAACCCCAACTCCTGGTCCAGGTTCTCCAAGGGAAGGCCACTCACAGAATATTTACCAGATGATCCGAATGACCCCTTCTCTTTGCTCCCATTGCATCTGCCTATCTTGGTCACAACACTTGGTCATGATACTTTTTTTTCCATTGACATATAATATCATATTAGTTTCAGGTGTACAAGATAATGATTTCATAGTTGTATATATTGTGAAATGATCACCACACTGAGTCTAGTTAATATTCTACAACCATACATAATTTAACATTTTTTCTTGTGATGAGAACATTTAAGCTCTACTCTTTTAGAAACTTTCAAATATACAACATAGTATTATTAAGTCGAGTTATTGTGCTGGATGTTACATCCTCATGGCTGTTTATTTTATAACTAGAAGCTTGTACCTTTTGACCACCTTTGCCCATTTTGTCCACTCCCCACCCCCTGCCTCTGGCAACTACCTATCTGTTCTCTTTATCTATGAGTTGTTATTGTTTTTTGTACATTCCACATAAAAATGAGAACATATGGTATTTGTCTTTATCTGACTTAACTTCACTAAATGACTTAGCATAATGTCCTCAAGGTCCATCCATGTAGTCATAAATGGCATGATTTCTTTCTTTTTTGGCTAAATAATATTTCATTGTGTATATATACCACAATTTCTGTATCCGTTCATCTATTTATGGTACTTAGATTGCTTCCACATGTTGGCTATTGTAAATAATGCTGCAATGAACATGGGGGATGCATATATCTTTTCCCGTTAGTGTTTTTGTTTCCCTTGGATAAATACCCAGAAGTGATATTGCCCATGATATGGTAGTTCTATTTTGTTAAATATTTTAGGTACCTCCATACTGTTCTCCATAGTGGCTATATCAATTTACATTTCCCCCACAGTGCACAAGGTTTCCTTTTCTCCACATCCTCTCCAACGCCTGTTATTTCTTGTTTGTTTGTTTGTTTGTTTGTTTTTTAACTCTAAGAGAAAGTTTATTTAGAAAGTCACAGAAGTAAAAGAAGTGAGCAGTAGAAGAAAAGGATTCAGGAAACAAGTTACAAAGGCAAAAGAAGAGGCTCTTGGAGCTTAAGAGAGAGAAGGGTATTTCTTGTCTTTTCTAACAGGTGTAAGGTGATATCTCATTTTAGTTTTGCTTTTCATCTGCCTGATTATTGGTGCTATTGAACACCTTGCCATGCGTGCGCACCTGTTGATTGTCTGCATGTCTTCTTTGGAAAAATATTCAGATCGCCTGTCCATTTTTTTTAATTGGTGTGCTTGTTTTGGGTTATTGAGTTATATGAGTTCCTTATATTTTTTGGATATTAATTATTTATCAGTTACATGATTTGAAAATATGTTCTCCCATTGATTAGACTGCCTTTTGATTTTGTTAATGGTTTCCTTTGCTGTGCAAAAGTGTTTTAATTTGATGTAGTCCCGCTAATTTATTTTTGCTTTTGTTGCTTTTGCTTTTGGTGTCTTATTGATTTTTACTGATTTAAAAAGTAATGCAGAAAAACTGAGAAAAGATAATAAAAATCAACAGGTAAAACTCCCGCCTATAGACAGTCACCCTTAACATTTTAGTATATTTTCAGCTATTAATTTAACAAATAGATATTCTTATTGTATAGTGAGGTATAATATCAGGTAGATACTGAGGTATAAATTGCTACAGTAAAATTCACCATTTTATATGATGTTTGATGAATGTAATCACCACCACAATGAAGATACAGAACATTTTTATCAGCCCCAAAAAGTCCCCTCCTGCTTCTTTGGTCAAACCACCCTCCCACCACATCCTTTGCAATCACTGATCTGATTTCTGTTCCTGTAGTTCTGACTTTTCAAGAATGCCATCTAAATAGAGTTATTCAGAAAGCAGCTTTTTTAGTCTCACTATCATTTGGCATAATGCTTTAGAGATTTACCCATGTTGTTGCATGTATCTGTCCACTCCTTTTATTGCTGATTCTTTATCTGTTGTATGGATGTACCACAATCTGTTTATTCATTCTACAGTTGTTTTGGGTTGTTTCTAACTCTTGCTAATTATGAATAGAATGATTATAAACCTGTGTGTACAGGTTTTTATGTTTGCAGATGTTTCCATTTCTTTTGGAAAAATTCCTAGGAATTGGATTGTTAGTCATATAGTAAGTTTATGTTTAATTTTATAAGAAACTAACAAACCGATTTCCAAAGTAACTTTATCAATTTACATTCCCACAAGTCGCATATGGGAGTTCCAGTGGCTCTGCATCTTCACCAGCATGTTGTAGTTTTCTTTTTTTGTCTGGTTGCTGAGCTATTCTATTACATATGCAATGTATTTCAATGTGCTTTTTTAATTTGCATTTTCTAATTGAATAATGATGCAAAGCATCCTTTTATGTGTTTATCCATTGTCCATATTTCTACATTATGAAGTTTTAAAAATATTTTGCTTTTTAAATTTGGTTGTTATTGAGTAGTAAGAATTCTTTTTATAGTCTAGATGCTGATATTTATCAGAAATGTGTTCTGTAAATATTTTCTCCCAGTTTTCAGAGAGTCTTCATTTTTGTAACGATTTTTTTTTAAGAGAAGTTTTTACATTTTATTCAAGAGCAGAGAGATATTTCTAAGTATCTGCCATTTTCTAAATGTTGATCAGCACAGGAGATACAATAATGCTTAAGTTTAACTGTGTACTTTTTCTTTTTAACAATTTCCATCCATTGGTTTTTTAGCCTGCTTTTCCACTACCTCATTATGAATATTTTTTACATCATTAAATATTATTTTAAAGCATGATTTGTAAATGTGTACATTGTACTCTTATAGCTATATTTTATTTAACTATCTCTCTATTTGGGGATGTTTATGTTGATTCCAATGAATACTAAAAAAGAAATATATGATTACCATCCTTGTGCAGAAATCTTGGTTTACATCTCCAATTCTTTTCTTAGTATAAATGCTTGCAATTGCAAAGACTGGGACAAAAGCATAGCACTTTGTATCTGTAAAAGGACTACAGATGCCTTCAAGCAAAGATCTAGTCTTTCCCTCCTTGTCATGTCAGTATCTGCCAGAGAGCCGGTCACATTGTAGGTTCTCCATGTATAAATGAATATTTGGAGAAGAAAAAGTTTTCATCTGAACTTCATCTCTCTTCTTCCTTTTGTGAAAGAAAATAAGAGTGCCCTTAGTCATCTACCCTGCCTTCTCAGATGAAGGGGAAAAGGAAAAAGTTTTATTCTAAGAGAAAACTTGCCGAGAAGATGCAGGTTCCCAGAGAACTAGGTGACAAGCCCTGTTGTTGCTCAGCAATGCCCTTAAGGGGCCCCGCCCCCAGCCTGTATAAAGCCAGGGTGCAGTGGGGCAGCCATAGCTGGCACACGGCCTCCTGAGCACCGCACCACCCTGGCACTGGCACTGGCTCACACTATGGCAAATGAAGCACAAGTCCTGCCCTCCCCGCTGAAAGGGAGGCATCCTCCCGCAGGTAGGCTGCCCACCTGCCCTCTGTCCTGCAGGTAGCAGGGCCTTGCTGCTGCTCCTTCCATCTATGCTTTCAACAGAGGCGCCCCGACAGAGCAGAGGTTCTCAACTCCCGTCGTTACTTGAACTTCATACAACCCGATTTCCTCCTGTGTCTTTGATCTTTCTAGGCTTGTGTATAAAACTACCTGGGGAGTTGAATTAAAACCTGATTATCTATGGGAGCACAGGGGATTGGGTGCTGTGGAAAGAAATAGGCAGGGAGGCTGGCCCTTTCCTCCCTGGCTGTAGGGTAGGAGTGACACGTCTACGCCTGGGAAGATGATTTGCTGCCATGGAAACCTTCTCCCTAGAGGTTCCAGCTCTAAGACTCAGACTCCCCAAGATACCTGTACATCATCTGACTTCACAGCCGGGCCAGCCAGCTTCCACACCAAGGACAGCAGCCATCACTTCCTCCTCAGGCTCTGGGTTGGGTGGTGTGGTTGGTGATGGATTTGCCAGTCAACAAGCTGAGGAGCACTTTTTAATAAGGACCCAAGCACTGGAGGGGCTGACCGGAAATGGTAGCTATCAAGATGTTTTTCAAAGCATCCACAACACTCTCTCTCTCTCATTTTAAACGTATGCTATTTATATCAACTCTCTGGAATATGGAAATTAGTTTTATTGTACTTAACTATATGTTCATCTAGATTGACTGAGGCATGTAGGCCTATTTTTAGCCACTTTTATGTTCTTTCAATTGCCTGCCTTCTTTTTTTCCTTTAAGAAAGATCTCAAACGTGTGTCCACTTTGTTCTTACCTTTCTCCATTTACAATATTTATTTATTGGTATAATTACTGGGCACCTCTAAGCCAAGGTAATGTCAGTCATCTTCACTGCAGAGAATGAGGGCAGATGCACCCTTTGCAAAGCCAGAAAAACTGACATGGAGGTTCAGTGGTTTTCTGGTGAGCAGCCTAGCTGAAAAGAGTCAGAATTTTTACTACTAATTTTGAGTTTCCAGTTCTGGGCTCCATGCCCTGCTCTCCTGCGACAGATTCCTGACATGTTATATTTATAATTGGATTTAGCAATATTTAACATGATCTATATTTAAAGTTAATGATAGTACCTAATGGTCAGGAACTATATATGCAAATTATTTGAAGAGAAGTCATTACACAGATAATGACACACACACAAAAATGAACACCATTCTCTTCTCCACACTTCTGCCCTAATCCTTCATAGAAAGTTAAGCTAAAACCTGATTTAGTAAATTACATTTATACACAAAGAACACAGAGATAAACTTAACCAAATGAACATTTGAATGAAACCACCAACAACTTTCTGTCCCCAGCACTAATGATTGCTAATTACTCTGTGTACATAGCACACCATGAATCCATCAAGCATGTCACAGTGCCTCTGGCATGACAATTAATTATTATGAACTGTGACACTCCAGATAAGAGGTTTGGGGTAATTAAATGGAGATGAAGGCAGACTTTACCTCCCCACTGAGAGCAAGGGAACAAAGATGCTGCATCCTTCATCTTGTCTCGCTACCTATTGCAAGTCTGGACCAGTTTGCTATGGTGCAAAATTTTATTTATGGAACCACAATAATTTGTCACCAGAATTCCATTAACTCTTCACCTGATTTTTGTATGGGCAATACACCATCCCTGCGTGTGGGAAGCAGACAGGATATCATGGGAAGGATTTGATATGGCTCCTGGAATTGGATGTGGGTTTGGACTCTGCTTTCATTCCACATCTCTGAGGATCCGTTTTCTCATCTCTAAAACAGGGGGGGATAACTAACGTGGATATTATAAGGTTGTCATGATGATGAAAGGTGATAACCTATGTAAGGTACCCAGCACATGAATGTTCATCTCTGTGAGGTGCAGGCCTCATCACACACAGAGCTGTCAGAGGAAATTACCCTTCCCAACTGCAAGACCCCGGATGTTCAAGGGCGGCTGCAGTAGGCAGAACAGAGGGAAATCGCAGAGATAATATACACGTGCCTCCCCGTCACCGTCAGAGTGAAACCACTCGAAAGGCAGCCAGCTTTACTCTTTCCCACCTACGTGTCAAGTGCTTGGTGGCTTTCCTTTCATGTATCTTAATATAATATATTGCACCTCTGTGAGCCGTGGTTATAAATTTATACTGTGGCACAAAACTACGTTAAAATGAGCTGGCCAGGGCTCTAGTAAGCTTAGCTTCAGACTTTCTGCTTTTTGATTTGCCTCACTTTGTTTTATAAGAACCCCATCACCATGAACAGCTAAAAATGTGTGAGTCGAAGGTGACTGAGGAAGCCAAGTACATACATAATGAGCTAGAAAGAGCAGGAGTGCATGATTTTCTTCTATATATTCCCTGAACTTTTTAATTTGGTTTAAGTCAAAGGCATCAGAGCCATCAGAGGGGCCGCCACTGACCCCCCACCCCCCAGAGAGAATCAGTTTTCTGGCTCATTAAAGAGAGAATAAAGTTTAAGGAGTATATCCCCAAGTGTGAAGCTAATGCAGAAAATGGGGGTAAACCATAGCTGCTTAAGGGCCAGCATTTAAAGGGGGCAAAGGTTTAATTCTCTCAACTTCAGTCTGCTCAAGTCAACTTATGGGGTTTGAAATCTGTGAAGTTTGAGAGAGATTGGGAGACCCACTACCCCAAGCATCATAGGACAGAGTTTGATGACTTGCAGACACAGGGACAATGGCATTCGCTCAACACTCATTGTGCTCCTGGCCCTGCACAGAACCGTCTAGACATGGCAACACCCCCGCAGACTGATGCTCCATCGTCCTTGTTTCACAGAGGAGCAAGCTGAGTCAGCAAGGTAGAGGCACTTGTCCAAAGCTACACTCCTGGAGGGCAGTAGGGCTGAGATTTGAACATACAGTGGACCCCATGCCAAAGTGCTCCTACCCTAAAGCCCTGTCTCCTTGCTCCCCAGCCTTCTTCTGGTGAGGGTCTTTTAGGTCTTGACTGGCTGAGAAATAAAATGTAAATGCAAAGGAAGCAATTTGCAAACACCTACCTGTTTAATTAAAATTTTCACATGAAAGTTCTAAGTCACAAGGCAGAGTTCACACAAACCTTTGTGTTGTTCAGCTTTCTCACACATGTTCTCCACTGATTAGTGGAGGAGAAAAGCTTAATTTTTCTGGCAGGCTTTTCTGTCTTCATTTTGACTACCCTCCACAAAAAATTGTACAAAATGCCTGGGAAACCTTAACTGGAAAATCATCATAATGGCATTCTAAGCTCAAGGGTCTATTTTTGAAGTTGTAAACTACAGAAGAAGCCACAAGAGTATAATTCTTACTGAGAGATAGGAAAACAAAATTTCATTTTACCCACATAAATTTCCCTTTCCTAATGAAACTATCCAACTATCCAAACTATCTCTCTCTTTCACGTATTTTATCTCTAGTTCATTAGGTCATTTCATGCTTATGGAAAAGACCTAAGATTTTACCTTTTTTTTGTATCCAGAGGCCTGTTAAAATGTTAAGTCAGTTCATATTTCGCATTACTCAATTCCAGTTCGCCCTTCTACAAAGGTTCAGAAGGCAGTGTAGTCCCAAACATGGAATTATGTAAATGTTACAAATTTAATTGCTAAATCATCTAATTTAGTTACAGTGACACTTTGAAGTGGTCCCATGAGTTAGACCTATCAGGTGTAAGCAAAATGGGCAAGGACCTGGTTGTGTTGTGTTGTAAATATTTATTACAATGGTTTATCTAGATCCCAGGAGACCAGTGTAAGCAGTGTTCCCAGCAGAGCTTTGAAGGTAACCCTCCCACAAACTGGTTCCATCTGGTTTAGTCACCTCAGTGCAGGGAGAGCCTTAATCTGCATGTACCTCAGTGTATCCATTGTAGTACGGGAATGTTATCTTCTTTCTGCTGTTCATGGCTGGCCACATGAGATTACCTACCAGAACAGGTTTGGTACAAGTGTGCTCTGGAGATGCAAGCTGTGGTTCATTTATGCTTCTTAAATCGCTCATTTAAAGCCCACAGCCCTGGCCCTGGCTGGCTTGGCTCAGCGGTTAGAGCCTTGACCTGAGGACCAAAGAGACTCTAGTTCAATTATGGTCAAGGGCACGTACCTCAGTTGCAGTTCAGTCCCCACCCCTGGTCGGGGTCGTGCGGGAGAGCCAGTCGATGTGTCTCTCTCACATCAATGTCTCTCTCTCTCTCTCTCTCTCCTTCCCCCTCCTTCCTCCCTCCCTACCACTCTATCTAAAGATAAATAGAAAAATATCCTCTGGTGAGGGTTTAAAATAAATAAATAAATAAAGTCCACAGCCCTGCACACCAGAGAGGATTCAAAGACTCCTGCATAGAAGTAGAAATCCTCTGGGAGGATTTTTATTCTCTTCAAGTGTCTCCATTTTATTGTTCCTAAGAATGAGGAACTCCCATGCTCGTATATTTTTAATTTTCTTTTGGTATTTGTTTCTATGCCCTATATTCTTCCGGAAGGGAGGGAAGTAATAGGTTTTCTTTTGTAAATAGATGAGAAGAGTTAGAATCATTGTAAGGACTTCATAGTAAAGATCATCTAATTAAACTTCTACCAAATTTACCAAAATCCTCCTAAGGTATTCATGGCAGGTAGACCTCTTTCCTTTAACACACTGAGTGACAAAGGTCATGCTGAAGTACTAGGCAAGCTACTTTCCTTTGAATAACACAAACTGTTATGTGTAGCCAGACTCTGCCTTTCTGAAATTTCCATTGTTTGTTCTTGATTCTCTCCTCTGGAAAAACATTAAATAAATAGAAATAAGAATAACTACAAAGTGTTCAGTACCTACCATGTACCGGCTATTTATGTGGCCTCTATTCCCTAGACCGGCTGAACAGTCAGTATTACTCCCTTGGAAGGATGCAGAAACTGAGCTGCAGAGGGGTTTAGTATCTTGCTCAAGGTCACAGGGCTCGGGTGGGGGGGGAGCTCTGTGACCCCGTATAACATTTCCTCACCAAGATACCTTTCCTCCTCCCACATGGCAACCCCTCAGATCTTTGAAGACGGCGCCCTGACCTGCCCTGAGTCTGCTTCATCAGCCATGATCTTTCTGCATTCCCTCGTCCTCATGTGACATGCTCCCTTCTCCACTCTGGTCACTCTCCTCTGGACATTCTCTGCTTTGTCAATGTCCTTTCAAGTGAGTGGCACAAAACTCAGCATTCCAAAGGCCTTCTCACTTTTAACTGCTATTTATTTAATGATAACAATTTGCTTCTGGACTGATAAAATCAGTGCAGATGGAAGAAAATGTATAGAAACAATAGCATGTGGAAAAACAAAAGGAGTACTAAAAAGAAAATAGTTACAGAACACCCTATGTTAAAAGCCCCTGTCAGACGGAGAATGAAAAATACCATCGGGAGGGGTACTGAAGGCACGAGCTCTGGATCTTCTATTTCGTTCCTCTTGATAGATGGAGAATGGCACTGTGGACAGCGCCACCCTTCACAGAGGGTCACGCACTCCTAAGTCTTCCTAAGCCATTCATTGGCCTGGCTGGTGTGGCTCAGTGGATTGAGCACAGTCCCATGGACTGAGAGGTCCCAGTTCGATTCCTGGTCAGAACATATGCCTGAGTTGTGGGCCTGATCCCCAGTAGGGGCCATGTAGGAGGCAGCCGTTCAATGTTTCTCTCTCTCTGAAAAATCAATAAAAACATATGTATATTTTTTTAACAAGTCATTCATTGGCTTATTTCGCCTCTGTGTTCTGTGGCTGTTCAGAAGGTGTTTCGCCAAAATTTCATTTCTGTTGCTGATTGTTTTGTATGCCTCTGTGTGTGTGTGTGTGTGTGTGTGTGTGTGTGTGTGTGTGTGAATTTAAAGGACCATGTATGAGAATAGCAGTCTTCCCCTAGACTGCATCTAACAATAACAAAATTGTAGTGAGAGGCTTTTATAATCAATAAAAAAATAAGTTAGTGATTCAAAATGACTAAGTGGAGTTTATCCCATGAATATGAGAATGGTTTCATATAAGACATCTATTAATATAATTAATCACAATAAGCAGAAAAGTCATACGATGTCTGTTTATGCTAAAAAGGCGTATGATAAAATTCAACATGTATGTATAATTTTTAAGTGCAATGAAACAGTACCCGAAGGATATTTCCTTAACACGATGAAACAATATATTTATGAAAATATACTCACTTCTTATATATAGCCTAAGTATACATTACGCTTAATAGAAAAACACTAAAAGCTACCCTTTAAAAATTAGGATGACAAAGATGTTGACTATCACCACTATTAAACATTATTTTTGAGGAAATAATATAATTCTTTGCATGTTAATCATTTTTAACCTCAAAAACCTAAGAATCGATTTCATTTATTTAAAATATGTTTTTATTGATTTTTAGTGAGAGAGGAAGGGAGAGAGAGAAAGAGAGAGATTGATCGGCTGCCTCCTGCACTCCCCCTACTGGGGATCAAGCCCACAACTCAGGCATGTGCCCTGACCAGGAATCAAACTGGGACCTCTCGGTCCATGGGACTGTGCTCAATCCACTGAGCCACACCAGCCAGGACTAAGAATCGATTTTAAACTACTATAAACAATAAGAGAATTTAATAACATTTGGATATAAAATCAAGACTAGTAATATAAGAACAATAATCTGTTAGAGTTATAATGGAAGATTGGACCTCATTTACAATAGCAACAGCAACCACAAAGATAAAATGCTAAGGGAATAAATCTAATAGTGAATGTGTGAGATTATGTGAACAAGTTATTGAGGGACTCAAAAGAAGGTGGAGGAAAAGCATACTATGTTCTTGAACAGAGAGCTACCAGGAATATAAAGATACAAAGTTTTCTGTTGTTGTTTTTAAATCTATAAATGTAAAGCAGGATCTTTAAAAATAATACCAACAGGATTTTTATAAGAAATTAGCAAACTGGTTCTGAAGTTTGTATGGAAAAATAAATAAGAATAGCTAGTAAAGTTCTGCAAAGAAAATATAACAAAGGAGGACTAACTGTCGTATATTAAAATGTGTTATAATACTACAATAATTTAAATAGAGTTGTAATGGCATATGAATGGACAGAGAGCTTAATGCATATTTACACACATATACATATATACAAGAACTTAGTATATGATAAAGATGGTATTTCAAATTAATAAATAAAATATGGATTTTTAAAATATGATTGGAATAAATCTAAAAAAAATCTATTATGCCTTCACATGATTTACACAAAATATATTCTAGAAGATCAAGAATTTAAATATACAATCAAAGACTGATTATGCAAAATGAAACCATAAAAGTTCTAGAAGAAAATATGGAATACTGTAATGCAAATAAAACATATGATTGGAGAATTCTTTAGTAATACAAAACCCATAAAAGATTGACAGAAATAGCAAATTTCTGATGGCAAAAACATAATTAACAAAAAAATCAGTTACTGGTAAAATATTTTATATTTGCAATACATCTCATAGGTAAACAGTTCCTATGAATCAACCAAAAAAACAGGAAAAAGAATTTGAACAGTTCATAAAAAGAAAATATAAATGGCTTCTAAAACACAGAAACAAGCTCAACTTTTAATAAAATATAAGAAATGCAGATAAAACAATGCGATGCCATTTTTTTAAAAAGACCTATTGATTGACAAAACCAAATGTTTTCTAGCTCACATGGTTACCAGGGACATGGAGACAAATTGCGGTCATCATTGCTGGTGAGACTGCAAACTGGTGCCAGCTCTGTGAAGGGCAATTTGGCCAGATTTAACAAAATTCCAAATGTATACTCTTGAGAACTAGCGAGAGCACTTGCAGGAATTTATCCCATGGATATACTTGCACTTGTGCAAAATTACATATATATGAAAGGATATTTAGTGCAGCATTATTTGTAATGCAATGGATTAGAAACATCTGAAATGTCTTAACATTTGGGAATTGGTTAAGTAAACACAAAATGTTCCTATAATGACATTTTAAAGATGTTTTTAAAAAGGCACATTTCTATATATGTATTGAAATAGAACTTAGTCCAAAATACATAATTGAATAAAAAATATAAACAGACAACATGCAGAACAATGTGTATCTTATGCTCCCATTTAAGAAATAATAAGAGGTAGATAGACATATAGAATTATCTGTGGATGAATACATGGGAAACTTGTAACATTTCTAATATCTAGGGAGATGAACCAGGGGGCTGGGAAATAATGGTAGAAGGAAGACTGCAGACCTATTCATGCTTTTTGAATTGCGTGCTTCATGCATGTATTATAATCAAACCAATAAAGTAAATAATAATTTTAAAAGAACAATGACTAAGTCAATTCACAAAGGCATGGAGAAACAGAATCAGTTTTCCTTATTTTTCACTTTATGGGAGCTAGTTTTAGAAAACTGTCCATTTGACATTCCCATAAAAAGAATTAACAGATTCAAACAAATCAATGTCCATTTAGCTTTTTCTCATTTGCGCTTGTCAGATTGTATATGTGCAAATTTCCTGGGAACAGAAAAAAGTATTTGCTTTGACTTGCAATCTGAAATGGGTTGTTCTTTTTCAAAAGTTGATTTCATCTGACATTGTTAAACACTTGAATTGCTGTTAGGTCATCTGTAGTCTAATTAACACTAATTGATCTATTGAATGGCAGGATTATTAATGCATTTTAATTACTCATTACAATATCCAAGCTTGGCCAACATCCAAGGTCTGGGGTCTGAGATGAAAGGTGGGTATCCGGTGGGATCAGAAGCATCTCTGTTGAATTAAATGCCTGTTATCGCCACCGCCCTGACTTTTGGCTCATTCTCAGAATCTGGCTTTTGAAAGCTTTGGTTGGAAAAGAAAAATGCAAACCTTGCACAAACTTTAATCTTGTGGGAAAACAGGAGGGTCACATTGTAATTGTCAGTTGCTATCATGAAGAATGTAATTGGTTTGATAACAAGAAAAAATGTTTTTCAGTGAAATGCCTAAGGGAGTATGTGGTTATTCATCTCCCCAAATGGAAGATGTAACTTGCTGCCTTTTAAACCTCAGGTCCCCACTCCCTCAACACAAACAAGCAGACCTCAGCGCTTCTTCCCCTCCCCACCTTGTTTCCACAAAGCATGTTTTTTCTTATCTTTTGTGGTTTGGGGGTAACTTTTTATTGTGTTGTTTTAGATAAACGTTTAGATCTTTAGAAAGATAAGTTTTAAAATTTTTTTCAAATCTAAATTCATACCTTGAATAACAAAGCATGCCTCCTTTTGCTGTTCTAACCATAACTCCCATGTTGATGCTTATTTGTTTATAGTAAAAGCTGGAGGGATGCGAATTTCCAAAAAACAAGAGGTTGCTGTCTTGGAGAGACACTCCAAGAAAACAGGATCTGAGAAAACAAGGTAGGGGACTGCTTGATTTCTTCTCCTGTGTCACCTGGAGGAGGTTTCAGTGACTCTTCTTTCAGAAGTCAGAAGTCTCCCAGTGTTTTAAGACAAACTAAGGCCCCCTAGGCTTTTGCTGAGCAAGGTCAGAGGCAGCCACCAAGGTGGGGCGGGGTGGGGATCAAGATCAGTGGTGATGCCCTGGCCAGTTTGGCTCAGCGGTTGAGCGTTGGCCTACGGACCAGAGATCCGGGTTCGGTTCCCGCCAGGGGCACGTACCACAAACAAACAAACAAAAAAATCAGTGGTGATGCAGACTGGAGGTGAATGGCACACTCAGGGGAAAGGTGGCTACCTTCTGCGGGACTCTTTCTGGGCCTCCATCACGAACCCCACCCGTTCTCCCGCTCGCTGAGTCCAGCCCAGCTGTCTTACACTTAAATGATACAGTCCTAAATGCATTCAAACCTGACGTATGTCCCTATCCTATTTTCACATTAGCCTTTAAAATATTGTCCCTAGGCTGCCCTATTTTCGTAGTATGCTTTTCTGCTGAAGCAAATCTCCTGAATTAAAAATAAATGCTTTTTGCTCTGGCCGGTTTTGCTCAGTGGTTAGAGCATCGGCGGGCAGACCAGAGAGACCGGGGTTCAGTTCCCACTAAGGGCATGTACCTCGGTTGCAGTTTGTCCCCGGCCCCAGTTGGGGTCAAGTGGGTGTCAACCAGTCGATGTGTCTCTCTCACATTGATGTTTCTCTCTCTCTCTTCATCCCTCTCTCCCTCCCACTCTATCTGAAGATAAATGCAAAAAAGTCCTCAGGTGAGGATTGAAAAAAAAAAAATTAAAAAATAAATGCTTTTTTGTTGTTTTAAAATTCATCACTCAATTATTTAGAAGCTACTAAGGACTACTCTATTTGACCTAACTGAAGGCTGGTTTCCCCTTGCTCCTTCCACCATGACCTTGACACCCTACACTGTTCCCAGAGCTGAGCAGAAAGCTGTGAGCTGGATCAGACATGCACATGGCCCCACCACTCTGTGCCTTAGTAAGGAAAGTGAGTATGTTCAAAAAGAAATCAACATGAGCAACTGGCTCCTCCAGGCAGTGTACTGATGGGCCTCAGAGGCTATTTCAGGATGGCTTCCCTCGGTGAGTTACCGGGTATTTGAAAAGGAGTCGAGTGGAGGATGCTTGACGGGGGTACCTCCCTAGAGTTAAAATGGCAACAGTCTCAGAAGGAGAATTCAGAGGGAAATAGACTGTGGACTTTCTCTGGCTCTTTCACATAAAATATTTTTGGATCACTTTTAAAGTTTTCTTTCTGATTCTGTGAAGGAAATTGTCTGAGGATCTTTTCTACATTAAAACGAAGTACTCATTAGCCCCGTTAGCAGTCAGTTTTTGTTTCTCCTGATACCAGAAAATAAGCATCACATAAGGAAAGTGAAACTGCGAGTCCTCAAGGGGGGGGAGGGTCCCCTGTTACTTCTCTGGTGACCCAGCATTGAGGACAGCTCCTAGAATAGAGAAAGCGCTCTGTGAATAATAACAGGCTGTTGTTGAGTTGCAAGTGGTTAAGTTGGAAAGTGTGTTCTGTCACTAAAACCTGACTTCAGCATAAGCCCTGTTTATTGCAACACTTACCATGCCTGGGCCAGGGTCTCAGGGACTAGTCAGAGCTTGGAAATGACCTTCTACTTGGCAACCAGTGGACGAGTCATATTTGTCTGCACCTCAGAAAAAGGGGACTTCCTATTAATTCCAACATCACCGAACAATGTTAGAAGAGGAGTAGCTAGAGAGTAATAAAGTGGTGATTGGAACCCTCTTTAAAAAAACTCAGTTTTTTTCTATTAGCTGTTAAAAGATGGGAATTGGACTACTACCGAACATAAACAGCAAGAAATCAGTCTCTCTTTCTTGCTCCCTGTTTACCAGGGATAGCTAAAAGTAGGTAGGACCAAAAGCTTATAGAATTTGTGTGCCATTTTAAAGAAAAATAATAAAAAATCACCAATATAAATTGCCCCCCCCCCCCCCCCCGCAGGGAGGCCCTGAAGCTGCAGCTTCATTAATTAGCGCCACCATCACTTCACCTCCACCCGTTACATCTCCTTCGTGACCATGCGCACAGGGTGTGAGTGCCTCATCTTCCCAGACAGGCGTCTCCCCTTCCATTTTCTTGGAGAATAGCTTTTGAAAAATATACCCTGGAAAATAAGTTTTTAGGCACCATCAATCTATGTCTGCTTCCTAATAACTTGTACCAACCGACACAAACCATCCAGAAAAAGAAAATATGCCAAGCGCAGAGTTTCCTTCAAGAAATTGTACTGCAGGCTCAGCCCTGATTGAAACCCTCCTACAAAATAACTTGGCCTCAGAAAAGAAGCCAGACACAATAGACCGCATGCTGTATCATTCATGTTATGAAGTTCAAAACCCATCAAAACTGATGTATGGGGCTATAAGTCAGGGTAGTGGTTATCCTTAGGGGGCAGCTGGTTAGACTAGTGTTTTAAGTACGTGAATATTCACCTAGCTTCGCACTGATAATATGTGCACTTTTCTGCATGTGTACCATACTTCAATGAAAAGTTCAAAAGCAGTAGCAATAATAACTTGGCCCACAACACTTGCCATAGCACGTGGGCACACAGAGGCAGGATTTTTTTGTCTCTTAGATGTAGCCAAGCAGGGTGAAAGCTTAAAAGCCAAGTAGACTGGCTTCTGTATAAATTATTTAACCTCTTCAGTGGGAAAGTTTCAGGTCCTACATGAAGTTTCTTTTCATCTCTGCAGTGCCATTGTGAATATTGCCAAGATACAGACGATGGATACCCTGAATGACACACTGGAGAAGGTGAGCTGTGGGTGAGATGCATCATGGGATGCTCCCAGACAGTCCTCACCCGACCATCGGGCTATGTGGGTGAACGAGCCAATGACCACTGAGGTTTCCCGCCACTCAGAGGTTCAAGGTCCTTGTGAAAGAATCTGCTCTCAGTGCAAAGAACACAAAGAGGTCTTGGTGAGAAAAGCTGTTTCTTCCAAATTCCTAGTGTTCATTAAATGAATCATCTCACAAATGAGATAGAAAATAAAGCAAGAATCGTGACACCAAATTGGCAGAACTTGACTTCGCTGTCCCAAATATTTCTCGGAAACATTGGCATGGTTTTATAAGAAGGCAGCCTGTGTACTGGACGCTCAGCAGAGTTTGACCTTCCTCCCCGCCACCCCACTCCCAAAAGGCAGGATTAGATTTGAGGCGAGTGTGGATGGTGGGGGGTTGCATAGTTTAGGGCTGCAGGAAGGCTGGGCATGGGCTGGCCTTACCCATCCAAGTCTGTTTGTAAAGGTGGTTGACCACTGCTATTTTTATCTCTACATCTTGAAGTTCTTCTAAGTAGCTCGAGAAACTAAAAACATGTTACAGAACGACAGTGGTTTGGTTTTGTATTCAAGAGTTTGTTTTTCAGTGAGGTAGGCGACCTGAGTGAGAGTCCTTATTTTATGTCTAGGGGACAGATACATTGCATTCAAGGCAATGAAGAACAACTGTTGTTGTTTTAATCCTCACCTGAGGATATTTTCCACTGATGTTTTTCATCTAGAGTGAGAGAGAGGACGAGAGAGAGAAAAAAACATCAATGTGAGAGAGATACGTCGATTGGTTGCCTCCCACATGACCCCAACCAGGGCCAGGGATGGAACCCGCAGCTGAGGTACGTGCCCTTGACCAGGAATCGAACCTGTGACTCTTCAGTTCAAGAGCCAGTGCTCTAACCACTGAGCCAAACCGTCCAGGGCTGAAGAACCACTCTTCCAGCTGCCCCCACATTTATGGAAGGGACAGGACTGAGCATCCTCTGTAGAAGGAAGACTTGCCGTTACTGCTGAAATCAGAGACCTGAAAAGCCCAGAGCCCAACTGTGCGGCCAGACCTCCGAGTCCCCATCCGGCACTGCCCTTCCCCTCACCAGCTGTAGGGTCCTGAGCAAGTGACTTATCCTGTGCCTCAGACTTCTTGTTTGTAAAATGGAGATAAGAATACACCTCAGTGTTGTGGGATAAATGAGTTCATACACGGGAAGCTCTTAGAAGTGCCTGGCGCAGAGCCCCCTGTTTGCACTCTGTTCTGATGAGTAGCATTGGTTTCTTGGCAGTGACATGAAAGGTACGTCTGAAGTCCATGGGATGTCACAAGACCTTGGTACAAGACAAGATCGTGATTATAGATGACAGCTACAGAGCCTTCTCATGTGGAGAGGCTGGTTCTCCCGTCACATAGATCTGAGCTGAGGTCATAGGTGCCTCTTTGCCTCGCTGGCTTTACAGGAAGGGGGGGTGCCTGCCGGGGCAGCACACGCTGTCAGCTCCTGCACCTCACCTTCTCCTGCTGCTGCCCACTGAACGCCTCGTCCTCAGGGCAAGGGAGTGCCCAGGTGTAAGTGAACTGGATGGCACATTTCTCTAGACTACACATGAACCCTAAATAAAATGTTTTTTATTTATTAGTGGTCAAAAAAGGTTTATTATGCTGTATGTTCGGTATGATGTGAAGGTTTATATTGTTTTTGTTTTGTTTTTGTTTTTTTTTATCCTCACCTGAGGACATTTTTCTTTTTTTTTTTTTTTTGTTCAGGTAGAGTGGGAGGGAGAGAGAGGAACAGAGAGAGAAACATCGATGTGAAAGGGACACATCGAGTGGCTGCCACCCGCACAACCAACCAGGGCCGGGGACAAACTGCAACCGAGGTACGTGCCCTTAGTGGGAACCGAACCCGGGTCTCTCAGGACCGCAGGCCGACGCTCTAACCGCTGAGCCAAACTGGCCAGGGCTATATTGTTTTTTATAGACCTCTGTGTATATGTCTGTGACACAGAGAGGCTCTTTCACGTTCAGTTAAAATATCAATTCTTTATTTCAAAGATAAAAAGAAGACTCAAATAACAACAACAATAATACGTTGTATTTGGAAAAAATAAGGCAACAGTGAGATGGTGTGCTATTAGAAATATATATATTTTTTTTATCCTCACCCGAGGATATTTTTTCCATTTTTTGTACAGATAGAGTGGGAGGGAGAGAGAGGAAGAGAGAGAGAGAGAGAGAAACATCGACGTGAAGGGACACATCGAGTGGCTGCCACCCGCACGACCAACCAGGGCCGGGGACAAACTGCAACTGAAGTACATGCCCTTAGCGGGAACCGAACCCGGGTCTCTCCGGACCACAGGCCGATGCTCTAACCGCTGAGCCAAACTGGCCAGGGCTAGAAATATTTTTAACAGCAGCTATACATTTCAAAAGAAAAACTTGAACACTTAGCTCGGTGTTTACTGAAGTGGGCGTGTGGGTAAGACTACAGCAATTACTGGCTGAAACAGGTTATGGCGTCAGGCAGCAGATGCCGGGGCCCCATGCTGGCTCTGTCACTCACTAGCTGTGTGTCCTTGGGCAGTGTCTTCACTTTTCTGTGCCTCTGTTCCCTTATCTGTAAGTGGGACTGTGATGAATGGTACCCACATCAAAGTGATACTGTGAGAGTAAAAGGAAGTTGTATAACACATGCAAAGGACTTAGCACAGAGGCAGACACCGTTAGCCCCCGGTAAGTGTTAGCTTCTAGTCCCAGGCAGATATCCTACAGGGCATCATCTGGATCCCTGGGCAAAGGATAAAAGGCCAGACAATCACATCCCAAGATTACCATAGTGACTCTCTTAAATATGGAATTTAATAGGATCCATGTATTTCCTTACAGCTAAGAAAACTCCTCCCTGAATTTATAGTTCAACCTGACGTGCAATAGGATTTCAGAATAAAGGTCAACCTGGGGTAAAAACAATGTCTTTCAAAGAATAGATCTGGTGAAATCAGTGGTTGTCAGGAGCTCAGGGTAAGGAGTGGGGTTGATCACAAAGAGACAGGAGGGAGTTTTTTGATTGTTTTGTTTTGTTTTGTTTTTTGAGATTGGGGGTGATGGAGCAGTTGTATATTTTGAGGGTGGTGATGGTCACAGACTATGTACTTGTAAAACTGTGCACTGAAAAGAGTATATTTACTGTAGGAAAATTATACCTTAATTTTTAAAAAGTATGTATAAACTATATGCCTCATACCAAAAATGTTAAAAGACATAAAAGATAAAGATATTGGTATCTGCTGATAAACTTTTAACTGTATTACAATGATTCCCTCCGTAAAGCATATTATTATGAAGACCTAACAATATACAATTGGCCAGAAGAAATACAGGAGCAGAAATGAGGGTCATCTCCTGTGCATTTATTAACATTCATTCATGCCCTCAGCTAGAATCCTGTCTAGTTGCAAGAATCTGTGTTAATTCTCCTACCAACTGGAGAACTTTGAGTCTAAGGCTGTGAAAGTACAGCCCAATTCATAGGACATCGACAACCATTCAATCATGGCGGGAAATTTCTATCCGTGTGCTATTTACTTCAGGACACCCTACTGTAAAACCAACATAGGGTTTAAGATTCGGAAGACTGAAAAACAATCTCCCCTGCCCTGGCTGCCTTGGCTCAGCGGTTAGAGTGTCAGCCTGAGGACCGAAGGGTCGTGGGTTCAATTTCTGGTCAAAAACATGCACCTGGGTTGCAGGTTCACCAGCCCAGTCAGTTGATGTGTCTCTCTTACATCTAAGTTTTTTTCTCTCTCACTCCCTCCCTCCCTTCCATGCTATTTAAAAAATCAATGGAAAAATAACCTCCGGTGAGGATTAACAAAACAAAGAAAAGAAAAGAAAAACAATCCCCAAAACTTTGGACCGATACACATCTAAGTGGGAAACAGCTTCAAATTTCTCCTCCCACTGTCCCTCCCACTCCTTCCTGCACACAGACCTCTGTCCCCACTACCCTCACCCCCCCATCTCCCCAGCCAGCCCTTCCCACCACTCCAGCCCTAAATAATAAGGGAATTACTGTCCCTCAGTGTCAGACCACATGACAAGGTATTCTTGGCAGAAAAGGAGTTCTCTAAGCCTGAAAACTCTTGAGGCTAAAAATCAGGGAGACCTGGTCTTAGACCAAATTCCACCTACTCCTTAGAGATTGTCTAACCTTTTAGAAGTCACGTAGCTCCTCTGAGATTTATGATTGCTCATTTACTTAATTTTTTAAAGGCGGGGATTGAGTGAATGGTACTGCCAAGTATATTACTTCTCTGGATGGTTACGGAGTTAAATTTGGCATTAGTTGTGAAACTTCCCCGAACATGAAAGTATGCACTTACAGCACTAGCAACGGGGCTGGGTTATAGTGTGTGTGTGTGTGGGGGGGGGGGGGTGAAGCCCAGTTACAGTTGGGGCCACTTTCCAAGTTTCCAGATGCGTCATTAATGCCAAAGTTAGTGAGATGGATGTGCAATGGGATCCCGGGGAGAGGAAACTATCAAAAGCATCTGCAAATCTAAAAAGGTTTCTCTTGTTCTGTAGATTAACATCACCGTAGGAGTAGCCTTGAATTTCATTGACTCAAGCTGAATGTTTTGTTTTAAGCACTTTACTTAACGGGGTGTGGAAATCTAAGTGCCAAGTTGGAAGTTAACACCCTGGAAAGGTGAATGGAAGAGCTTCCCGGCTGCAATACTACCTAACTTCAGGCCCGGCCCAAACCTGCGCTGGTTTCCCCGCATCCAGAGTTTCTCTCACAGCTCCCGTCGTAAAGACTGTTAACATACTTCTTCTGCTTTTTCTCCGAAACCGAAAATATAGGTTCTGAGGTCACAGCTACCCGAGATGAAGGTAAATTCTCAATGTGGGAGTCTCTACTGATCTGCTTTTTCAAGTTCAGTATGTCGGCCCGCGTGTGCCGAGCCGCAGCAGGATGGGATCCTCACACACACGCTGGCTTTGAACCCTTCTCTGGTGGCATTACCTAGATTCTCTCACCCTAATGAATCAGACAAGGAGCACCCCTCACTCTGCAAACCCTATCATTTTACGGAGACGATGGCGAGAACCCCCAAGCTCCCCCGAAGTGAAGGTGCAGACTAACAGCACAGCGGGCTGTAGGTTGGCCTCTGAGAAGCTCTTCCTATTTATTTCCAGTTCAGACTTGAAAGTTAAATTCTTCTGTCTACAGCACAGGATGAGGACATCGAGTGCTTGGCTATTTTATTTATAGTTTCCATTCTAATGGCAGGCTTTTTATGGATCATACCCACAACCCCCCAAGTCCTACATTAGCATGCTCCTGATTGAGGGGGTGGGAATCAGAGAAAGTGAGCTTGGCTCTCTTGTTGTATATACCAGAGTGTGGCAAAAGTAGGTTTATAGTTGTTTGCATGGAAAATAATACAATAATTAATAAATAATAATACAAGAATAAACTCTGTTTCACATACTCACAACTGTACACTTAACTTTTGCCCCACCCTGTACAAGAGGTGCTAGAAAACCCTATTACTGCTCCCCGCCCCCAACCTGTACATTTATAACTTAATAATTATGGGCAATTTATTTCTGTGTGTGTGTGTGTGTGTGTGTGTGGTCAGTTTTTTTTTTATTATTATTGTTGAAAAAATTACAAATATCCCCCTTTTTTCCCCATTGACCCTCCTCCTTCCCACTCCCAATCCTCTCCTGCTGGGTGGTTTCTTCTTTTTTTTTTTTTTTTTTAATATTTTTTCTTTATTGATCTTAGAGAGAGAAAGATAGAAACATCGATGACAGAGAACATCAATTGGCCACCTCCTGCATGCCCCGCACTGGGGATCAGGTCCACAACCTGGGCATGTGCCCTGACCAGGAATCGAACAGGTGACCTCTTGGTGCATGGGTCAACGCTCAACCACTGAGCCACGCCGGCCGGGCTGGGAAGTTTCTTTAAGGCTATTATTTCTGCTTGAATTAATTCCCCCTTCTTTCTGTCTTGTTGATTTTTTCCCTCTAAACTTTCCCAAACGGGTTACAGACGGCCGGTGAGCCCCAGGGCAGTCTCCCGTTCACTCCGATGCGGGTACTCCCTTCCGGAGAGGCCGCTGGGCCCAGCTTTTAGAACCTCAGTCAAACGCCTCAGTTAAATGTAACCCCTACCCCTTGTGCGTTCCTGGAGAGAAGAGAAAATGGTGCAGTCACTCTGGAAAATGGTGGGGGCTAGCGGCTGGGCAAGGAAGGGGTGAGGTTTTTTGTGTGCAAGGGGAACACAGTTTCAGCTTGGTATAATGCAAATTTCTGGAGGTGGATGGGAGTGACAGTTGCATCACAATGTAAATTGTGTAAATGTACTTAATGCTACTCAGCTATACACTTAGAAGTGGTAAGTTTTATGTTAGGTGCATTTTACCACCATTTTTTAAATGATCGAAAAATGTAGGCCCTGAGTTGTGGAAATAAGCCCGGAGGTGAATTAGGGCCACAGGAAGCAGTACGTCCCAACACACCGCTCTCCCTTCGCTCCGCTTTCTCACCTCCGCCCATCAGCTCTCTCGCCTCCAGAACAACGATCAACACTGTGGCTTCCTCTCTTCGGTCTCAACTTGTCATCTTGCTCCATCTCACCTTGGCTAATGGCCCAGGTTTCTGTTATATCATAATTACTTGTTCATTTCCGTTCTCACCCCTGCCCCCTTTACCTTAGATTTACATTTGACTTGAAGGAACTTGCCAGGTTGTGTTTCCTACCTGTAATCTCGCGAATGTGATTTAAAGCTAACCTGAAATAATCCATCTGTTTTAGTTGACACTAAAGACACCCAGTCTGGAAGAAAACTACTAAAGTCTGTGACCTCTTAAGTTTTCTTCTGGTTCTAATGTTAAAAGAAAAACAAAACGAAACGCTCTGCCTTTACCACACTATCAAATGCATGTCACGGGGCCTGATCATAACTGATCTGACCAAAAAATTCTTCAGTTCTTTTTTTTTTCAGATTTATCTTCCTTTCTGCTAGAATGCCAGCATAGACCATCATGGGATTCATGGTTATATGCCTACCTGCTCCTTGTAAAAGAAAAATTCTAGAAAAATACTGATAGGCAAAAATAAAGAAAAAGACGAGGACTTGCCCATAATTCTATCCCTCAGAGATGGCCATTGTTAACACTTTGGGTTATTTGCTTCCAGTGTGTTTAATTTCTTAAGACCAAGAAGAAAGGGCTTTCTGGCATCGAGTTTCACATGAAAGGGAATGCTGTGTGCCCAGGGCTCATTTGCGAAGGGGTTGAAGGCACACATGTTCTCCGGGCTTAGGAGAGGCCAAACAAACCATCAACAGTGTGATGTTTGGGGTCATGAACAGCTAATCTCCCCTTTTATTTAATTTGAGTGTCAAGGCAAGGGCAGCTATGTTCAATAGTGATTAAGTTAAATTCCTGGTGAGCTGAGGCATCGCTTCCTTGCTTGCTCAGGAAGGTGTCCTTCGGTGCCTTTATGTTTGTATCAGTGGGCTTGAAAACTAAGAACTGGAATGGACCCAAAAGGTCATTGAGTTCGAATTCTCCTCCTAGGAAAATTATGTCTAAAGTCCTTGCAGCATGGGCCATCCTTTTGATTTTAAGCTATCCTTAATATAAATTCCATAAATTAGTTTTTTGGTTCCATATGAAATTTCTCTTATTGTCAGATATTGTCTGTGTTAATTTATGTTTTCATTGATTTTTTTTAAGAGAGAGAGAGGAAGGGAGAGAGAGATAGAAACATCTATGTGAGAGAGATACATTGATCAGCTGCTTCCTGTACGCCCCCTACTGGGGATCGAGCCTGAAACCCAGGCATGTGCCCTGACCAGGAATTGAACCGAGACCTCTCAGTCCATGGAATGACACTTAATCTACTGAGCCACTCCAGCCAGGCTCAGTCTGTGTTAATTTAAATCTATTTAAGCCTGTGTCTTCCTACATGTCTTCTGTGGAGATGACTAATGAGGACTTTTGGTACCTGAAGCTAGTAAGTCATTTCTCAGCCTCCTCTTCACCAAGCTGCTTAGGTTGAACCATAGGAAATGGCCAATATTACACCATTTTTAACCTATTAAAATTACAATTTTAGCCCTAGCTGGTTCAGCTCAGCAGTTAGAGCATTGGCCCGCGGACCAGAGAGACCTGGGTTCAGTTCCAGCTAAGGGCACGTACCTTGGTTGCAATTTGTCCCCGGTCTGGTTGGGGTCATATGGGTGGCAACCAGTAGATGTGTCTCTCTCACATCGATGTTTCTCTCCCTCTCTTCCTCCCTCTCTCCCTCCTGTTCTATCTGAAGATGAATGCAAAAATGTCCTCTGGTGAGGATTTTTTTAAAAAGCAATTTTACATGTTTCAACCTAGTAAGTAACCCTAACTCTTCTTAACTTCTTTCAGAAGTTCTGTTTCTGATCTTTTGACAATTGAGGGTTTCTTCCCCCTCAGGACTTGCTCAAATGTTCCCATAGCCTTCTTAGAAAGTATGCATACTGATGCCAAAATAATTGCTAATCTTATAAGACTGATGCAGAAATAATGAACCATTTGTACCTTTAGAAATATCACTTCAAAACATAGATATAAATGAACATAAACATTATGTATATTATTGTTAACATAGTATATTCTATAATTTTACAAATTAGAAATAACTCAGGTAAACACACCATGGGCCCAGAACGGGAAGTGTGTGGAAAAAAGGAGAGATCATCAAAGAAGTAAACAAAATTGTGAAAAATCCCTGACCAACTGTATTGCTTTCTACTGCTTTAATACTTCATAGCTAAAAAGATCCAATATGCTTATTTTTTCTTTCCTTCTCACATTTAGCTCAGCCATAAATTTCCAGCAATGGTGCACATGGCACATCAAAAACCCAGACCTGCTCTGGAGAAGGTCACTCCAATGAAAAGGATCTACATTATTCAGCAGCCTCGAAAATGTTAAGCTGGGACATAAAACACAGCCATCTGCCCAACTGCCTCGAACATCTGACAGCTTAGCCAAGGAACCAAACCTTTCCTTAGGCTCAGTACACTTGCTTGGTAAATAAAACCGCTTTTGTATCTTCTCTTTGGACATTAGGTAATAAAGCATCCGAAATTGTAAATCCAACGCATTCTTGGGCCTCATTTTGGTCCAGGGCAAGATCCCATTGATATTTACATAATAATTCTGTTGATTAAGTAGAGAATCCAGAATACTTGATTCTTCCACCCACCCTCCTTGGACAAGCTCTTTTATCCTTGATCCTGACCCTGAGTTGTTCCAACCACAGTGGGTTCTTGAAGGCAAAATTTGGAGCAGAATACACTGAGCTTTGCAAAGGCCAATATTCTATGCAAACATGAGGAGTTATTCTTCTCAGTGTGTTTGTTTTAAGATGCTCACGTTTTCACTTGAGGTGAAATGTCTTTTTCAGTTTCACACATAAATACATTATTTTGAAGGTTTAGTGAGGTAAAATGAAAAAATTCGATTTATTACAAATATATTCTCTTCTGCAAAGTAATCAAGGATGGGAAGTTGAACTGTAGTTTCAGTGGATTTGCTAAGGACCGCCCAGAAGGTTCAGACTATAGAACTGAAGGGATTCCGGTGCTACAGGGTATTGTGGTTGGGGTATAGACGAGGATTTTAATTGGAGGTGAAAGTAAGAGGGAAAGTGTTGGCATAGCTAAACCTACTCTAGCTCTCCTATCCTCCATAACACACATACACACACACACACAGACTTCATATACTCACATGCAAATAGCCAAGGGCATCCTCAGAGGATGGTAGGGTCTATTCTTTTTCCACTTAGGTTAGCTGTCACTCACAGTCCCAACATTCTGAACCTCTAATTAATAATGCTATCCAGCATTCAGTACTTCTCTTTATCCAAAGATGGATCAGCACTCTAGTTCATCGTTTTATGGGCTGACAACCCTTGGAGTATGACCTGGTGCCAAGTCTGTCTCTGATTCCTGGAACTCCAAAGGTACTTGGCTAAGGCCCAGGGATCATAATGATGCATCCCACCTCCTCCCCTGTGCTGTTTGGCTCTCTTTCAGGAGTGAGAGAGTTGTTTGAGACAATATCAAGCCTCAGTCCATGCCAGCATGAATCAATAAGATAGTCCTAACCACTCCCCACCCCTACTTTGGCTTGCTCAGTCCCCAGTCTTCTGGGACTGTTGTCAGGAATATTCCAGAATGGTAAGTGTTCTAAGGCAAATAAATGGACAGAAGCACAAAGTCAGCCACTTCCCCAGGGTACAGTAGCAAAGTATAAGCCTGATGGTGGATGCTAACTGGATCATTGAACTGAGATTAGAAGACGGGTTCTACTTCTGACCCTTACTAGATTGTCAGCCTCAAGCCAGCCACTCAACCTTTCTGACCCTTGTCAAACCAGCATAACCACATCTGACCCCCAGGTTAACCTTCCCAGTGGCATACTGAGAAGAAGACAAAATGGACGATGAGATTTGCAATAAGCCATTTAAAGAGTAGTTAGAGCAAGGTGGTACCAGGATGGCTGTTCTAGAAGTAGAACTGTAGTAGTAGAACTGTAAGAGATAGTATACGCGGAGCCTAGAATAGGAAATTCAAGGGAAAGCTAAAGATTTAGCTAGACAGAAGCAGGAAGGAAACTGGGGAGGAAGCTAAGGGAAATCGGAAGCACTGCTACATTCAGCTTTCCTGAGGGTGAGGGAAGGCCAACCACCCAAAGGAAGTGAGAAGACGGGAGCACCACTCTCTCTGTGCAGGGGTGGAAGATGGATTGTAGGGGGGAGCAGCTGCCTCGGGGGAGCCTGTTGAGGACCCCAGCATTAATTTAGGTCTACAATTTTAGCCATTTAAATCACCACATCATACAAAGTAAGAAGTTGGATGTGAACTTCATATATGAAAGGAAATTGGAATTATCTTGAAGAATGTATCAGAAGGAAAAGGAGTAGGCCAAAAAGTGAACTTTCTGGTGACATGAGAGCACACAGAAAGGCAGTGGGGCCGTTCCCCCCTCCCCTGAGGAATGAGCCCTGCATGGGGGCTGTGGCTTCGCTCAGGGAGAAGCCCCATACGATGTGTTCACAGGCCCAGAAAAGTCATGGCACTGGGAGAGGGGGTGTCAGTAGGGGCATTGCTATGAATTCACTGGCAGATCCTCTTCTTTAGCTCATTGCATATCAATTCAAGAGACTCTATGCTAGGCACCGAGACACAAAGACAAGCAGGACACTGTTCTTGCCCACTGGGAGCTCTGAGACCAAGGGGAAGTAGACAACACATCAATACAATGAGAAAGTTTAGAAATGACTTGGAGGGTGGTTGGGGAACATGCTGGGGAAGAAGGTCATGAAATCACCCAAGGGTTACCTAGAGTACAGAAAAAAATGTGTTGGCTGTGGCGATCAATAACCAACATGCAGATCTTTAATAAACAAATGTTAATTAAGCTTTCTATGGAAATGTAAAAATACACAAAAGTTGATGAATATTATACTGAACCTTTAGTGCTCATCACAGAGCTTCAAGAATGTGGTCAATCTTATTTTCTCTATGGTGTCTGGCCCCCACTTCCTCTTTCTTTCTCCTCTCTCCTTCTGGGTTATTTTAGAGCAAATCCTAAGCATCATAGAAACACTTTAGTATACGAGCTTCAAAAGATAGCATTTGTGTGTGCACACACTCTCTCTGTCTTTGTGCCACACACACACACACACACAGCTGAGCCAGGAACACTCACAGAAATGACTGCTGGGGATTTGAGAAGGCAGGAGAGGTAGAAAATGAAGATGGTTTTCTGGTTGAAAGAAACTAAAAGGTTGACATGAAGTTGGTGGAAGTAAACAAGAGTACAGAGAGAAAACACCAGGGGAAACCAGTTCTTACTGAGAAAAAAGATTTAAAGAATACTTAAAAATAGCTAATTCTGCCCTGGCCGGTTTGGCTCAGCGGTTAGAGCGTCGGCCTGCGGTCCGGAGAGACCCAGGTTTGGTTCCCGCTAAGGACATGTACCTTGGTTGCAGTTTGTCCCCGGTCCTGGTTGGTCGTGTGGGTGGCAGCCACTCAATGTGTCCCTTTCACATCGATGTTTCTCACTCTCTCTCTTCCTCTCTCTCCCTCCCACTCTGTCTGTACAAAAAATGGAAAAATGTCCTCGGGTGAGGATAAAAAAAAAAAATTAAAAAAAAAAATAGCTAGTTCTGTGGTCACTCAGAGAAAAAGTGGGGTAAGATAGGAACCAAAGAAGATAAATTAATGGCAGGAAAAACTAAAATGGATTTATCCAGCTAACATTTATTAGGTTCCTCCTGTGTGATGGGCTTTCTTTAGATGAAGCGCAAGTCCAAGGAGGATATGGCTGGCATTTGGTACATATCATGTTTTACTATGAATGTCTAGATGTTAACTGGAGCCACCGTCCCCTTCAAATAGGTAAGATAGAGTCAAACGCTGATCCTCCCCCAAGTGGATGTTCAAAGGCCTCCCCACAATGTCTGTGAATCTCTAGGAGGGTTACATTTTACGGTCACCTCTGATTTCCAACAAATTTGTTCATTAGTTGCTGTCAGTGGGTCCCACCATCCTCATCTGGGGGTAGGACTCAGCCCTTTTCCATGATTTCCTCAAAAGCCCACTCCAGAGAGTAATAAGTTTTACCAAAGATTTAGTAGAGCGTTTACATCACAGTAACCAGAAAATTCACAAGAGAATATGAGACATTCCTGATTTTATATGCATGTCTTTGTTCCACTACTTCCCATCCCCCCAACCTGGGACTTGTTCACTGCTCACTGCACCCTGGGTGGTCCCCCCTTCCTCACACCATCTTTCTGGATGTTTCCCCTCCCCCCTCTCCCTTTCCTCACTTCTCCCTCCTCCTCCTAATCTGTTCAGTTCCAAATCAGCAACTAGCATTTCTTGGGTTGTCCTAACTCCCAGAAAACCTCATCAGGGAGTCACCTTACCCCAAAATAGTCTTCCTGCCTCCAAGAAGTCAGACATCAGCTGTCAGGATGTCAACATTTCATCCAAATATGACAGAATAAATGAATGCTTAACTGACTAATTAATTAAAAAGAGTGAAGTGGCAGAGAACCCAAACCAAGGAAAATGAGAAGCCAAAGGAAAAAGGAGAGAACTTTCAAATGAAATGTTGAAGGACCGAAAGAAAAACACAGACACAAAAGCAGAGCCAGCAGAGCTTGAACTAAAACTAGGTGACACTCACAGAACTGTGAGCATTATTTCCATGCAGTAGTTCGTGGAGTCTTCACAAGAATCACGCGAGATGGTGGCCATCACTATCCCATTTCACAGATGAGGAAAATGAACCTCAGAGAAGTTAAGAGGTTCCCAGGGTTTTACAACTGGTTAAATGGAGGAACTTCTCTGGGAAGCGTTCAATCCCACATCTAGAGCTGTCTCTGTGACCCTGTGAGAATACAGGCTGGGGCTGGTTCTTAGAAAACTCCAGAAAGACAGGATCTGGATGTAGCTTTCACTTAGTATACGGAGCTGCATTTGAAGAGAGACATCTGTGTGTGAAAGGACTGTGTGAAATTTGGCTTGGGGCCAATCAAATTCCTCAGTAGGAAAGTACACCATTCAAGTTCAGGTCTTCAGATTTTTGTTTAAAAGACACAATCTGGAAGTTCGAAAAATCATGGAAGTGAACCAGGTGGGGAGAAAAGGTATAATTTATAGACATAAACTCTCAAAATAAAAAATGAAAGCTAACAAAGGAAAATGCTCGAAGGATGTCCCCCTGTGTACAGCAAAAGGCATGAGGCGGGGGGAGAGGTCAAGCGCAGTTGGGGAAGGAGCGAGGCAGTGGGTAACCGAAAGGTCGCCCCTGCAGTGAAGTAGTTATTATCAGATGTAAATGTGGTAGCAGAGATGTGAATGTTTTCCACAAGGGCTTTCCAAATCAACCTAGATAATTGCAAAAGCCTATTTTGAAAGACCTGTATACCTATCTTATGAGCCGGTTTCCCACAGGACCTCAGGCCTGAGTTTCCACAGGTGTTTTCTACCCCACGGGCGTCAGTCATACCTGCTACTACAACTATCAGAGGTCTATGAGAAAACAGGAAGACTCAACACAGCAATGTCCCTCATGAA